GGTCAGTTTTTTGAGTCACCCAGCTAATTAGATATCTTATAATTATAATTTTTTAATCTGATAACGTGTTTGCAATCTTAGGCTCGAATCTAAGCCAAGGCCAGCGACAACTTATTTCACTAGCCCGGGCCCTCTTAACCCCAAGTAACATTTTGGTGCTAGACGAAGCCACTGTGAGCCACGATTTCCTTTACCCCAGTAAAAAGCACCCAATAGTCCTCCGTGCTTTTCCTTTGCTTCTTCTATTTTTCTTTTTCTGTCCAGCCAACTTTGAGATTTTGATTCCTAATCATTCATTCGTTTCCTTACAGGCCGCTGTCGACGTGGAAACAGACGCACTGCTACAGCAGATGCTGCGAAGCAACATTTTCCGTGACCGAACCATCATCACCATCGCGCATCGCATAAACACTATCCTGGATAGTGATCGGATCGTCGTTTTGGACCATGGATCTGTTGCTGAATTCGATACCCCAGCCGCGCTTATTCAGCGCCGTGGCCAGTTTTACGAGCTTGTGAAAGAGGCTGGGCTCCTGGAAACTAGCGTCAGTGCCGGTAGTGATACTAACACAAGTACGCCGACACTTCCTTCGTAAACAAGGAACGAATGGCGTTGCCCATCCTGTTTCTGGTTTTTGGCTTCTGTTCTCTTCGAGATTCACTGCTGTATCGCCGTGCGCGTGGATGAGAGGTTGTACAGCGATAGATAAAGAAGGAAGGGGAAGCGGCGAAGGAAATCTTGTACTTGCACATATTATCCGCCACAATATTCAATATTTTGTTTTCTTGTAGCCCCTGACCCTCTTCTCGTAACTTGTTTGGAGATTTTGCTTGGGTTTTGGAGCGCTGCTTCTTTCTTCATTTTTCGCCTACTAGTCGATGGCCTCTCTTCCTCCCCCTTTTTTTGCTGGAATTTTTCTGATTCGATTTTCATTCTTTAGTGCATCGGGGAAGCCGGATTGACCAGCTTGTCGGTATGCTGAAAGAAACCCAAAATGCTGGGAAAGGAGCAATAGTACGGAGTAGACATCTTAAAGAGCCGGATTACTATATTGAGGCGAATTATTGACTGGGATGTTTTATGTTCTTTTCGCTTTGCGTGGAAATAGTTCCTGATAAAAGTGCGAAAATTAAGGGGCTTGGGGATAAGATGCGACGGGCCTTCCCTGCAAACGCAGCGTAAGAGGGCAAGCCTACATCATTTTGCTTTTTCTTTCACTCCTTGCCCCTGTTGCCCCTCCATACCTTCTCATATCTGCCCGAGGAGTTCCTCCTCGATCCTTCTTGACATGGCCCATTCCAAAGCTGAGGCGGAAGAGCAATTTGCATGGGGCCGCAGAACCCGCCCTTCAAACCCATGTCGCGGAGGGTTTCTTGCCTCCCGTTTCCCGTCCCGAGACGGTAGTAAGAAACACTATTGGCTGGGCCCCAGAGTAAAACGTATGGATTCCTCCGGCCTCAAACAGATTGCGCATCATTCAAATGTTAATGCCAGATGCACCAGCAATGACGCGTCTTCGGTTTGTATTTTTTGATGGCATGCATAAAAAACCTTTTGAACCAAGCAAGTCTGTTCTCTCCCCCACACTATACCCCATTCAATTCTCGCTAGGTTTGTCCACTCCGCGCCGAGTTCAGCGGTAAGCTGAGGCTGGCTCCATCACAGCATCAATCCAATTATCTTTACGCTGCGTCAGTGACATCCTAGACAGTCCGTATTGAAAACAGTGGGCCCACGATCTGGTGGTGTCTTAACCCCAGGAACGGTAAGGGGAAATTCACAACGCCGAGGCGCATTGCATTTGGCTCAGAGCAATGATAACCCGTTCCGCAACCAGCGTGGGTCGGGACCTTATTTTTGGACTCCTGGATGCCTTGCGCTTGGCTTGTGCTTTAGCTTCTTAACTATCATAGGTAAGTGTGAGTGGCGGGAAGCTAAAGTGGCGCGTTTGGGGGTTCTTTGTGCGGCCTGTACTCCGTACGTAGTCCCCTGTGGCCCAACACAGTCGAACATCCCCTAATGTTGGCTTGAGGGTTGCCCGGAGCACCTTCTGCGACTTAAGAGGAATAGCTCATGAGCTTCGGACAAGTGGCCGCATCCACGCTGGCTCAGAAATTCAGAACGTCCGTCTCCCCCTGCAACCCACCCCTGTCGTCCGTTAACATCCCTGGACCCTTGATCAATCCCAAGAACCAACAGGACGGGCAGGGACAGGGGTAACAACCCCCCTGAGTATGCTTATTACTCGAGTTAGAGCTGGCATTCAAACTGAGCTAGACGGGGATCAGGTAACGGGGCCCGGCTGCGGGGATTTGGGGTGTGCCATATGTCTCAAAAATAAAGTCAGCCCTTGGGCAAGAGGTTTTCTGTCCAAGCTGTTCTGAAATCTCTTCGCGAAGAAGCCATGGCTTTTGATAAGCTAGGAGAGGGACCCACCCTTGCCCAGCCAGTAAAGTTCTGCGCTATTCAATTTGGGTCTGAGGGGAGGGTTAGCGGTGATGTTGAACTGGATAATTATTCACATATTTATCATGCTTGACATAGCGGGGCTGAGTGACTGCATGGGCATTGATGTCTGAAGACCTTGGCATGGACGTTCCGGGGGCGTTATGAGGCGTCCAATGGCGTCACCCTAGTACTCCGTAGTTGTAGAAGTCCCATCTATGGTGACAGATTCAGTCATGACAACCAAAATGTTTGACAGTCGGGGGGAGGATCAGGAGAACTAGGTTCAGATGTTTCCGTACGGAGTACTATGAATAGGATTAGGGTTAGACTACAGCTAGGCTAGCCGGATGACAGTTGGCTAATTCTCCATCGAGCATTCAGATCCCCAAGCCAACCTATGTTTTAGACATTGTGGAAGAGTGGGTTACTGGCCCTTTCCCATTTACGAGTTCAATAACCCTCATGTATGGGATACGGCGTTGTGACTTCGGCTTTTAATCCATCCAATTTGGCAAGCCGCACTTCCCCATCCGTGCGCATCGTGTTCCGCCTTTATGATCATCCGTCCCAAGAGAGCAACGAGAAACAATAATACATGCTCCCCACCATTTCAACCTGCAGGGGCCACCAGGTCGCGAGCCTGACATTGAAGATAGCACGGGACGCGGCAGACAGCACGCCGACAGCTGATATGAGAATCCTTCTTCCTAATTGCCAGCTACCGTGCCCTGCAATCGGTCACTAGCATGTAATCACAACATGCGATATTGATCAATAATACTACTACTACTAATAATAATAATAATAACAATAATGGAAGGAGAATGAAGATTCCTCAAGATCGCGACTCACGGATTCTTCTCCTTCTCCTCCATCAACTACGTTCGATGCCCTCGACGGTTAAAGCGATACTGTTCACAAATCGCGTGCGAATGAATCCAGATGCCGACGAATATTCCAAAGCGCATGTTAAATGTACCCGCCTCTACGGGGTATTTTGTGAGAGGATATGGGAAGTTGTAATAACTTCGAGGACACGATGTGGTTCGGAACTTATGGTTGTTTGAATCCGAGCATGAACGGTAGGAGTCAAGTGTCAGCTCGCCGTCACAAATGATGACCGCTTTGTTTCTTCAGCAGGAGAATTGCATCTTTGAAGGAGGTGCGACAATCCCTCGATTAACACAGCGGAGCGGGTTGAAAAGAGGCTTCCCCTCCAAAAAAGATGTTTCGTAAAGCGAAATATTGAAATCCAAAAAAGATGTTTCGTAAAGCGAAATATTGAAAGGGGCACTGGAATAACGTTTGTATTATTGTTAGAAATGACTCTCTAACTGCAGTTGAGAACAAGAAGAAGTCTAGAGAAATCATCCAATACTTACCATGTACTTTGAATGTATCAGGGAGGCAAGCTTGCTCCCTCTCGCAGAGAGCCCTCGATTAACCCCCGAATGAAGACAGACCGACATGAGTCGGGACGAGATCAGTGACAAACTTAAAAATTTCACATCCAAGTACCAGTTTTGCATTTCAATCGAAAGACAAACGTCCTTAGCTCAGTCGATCAAAATCCTCATTTAGCTGCTTCTTGGAGCACATTGCTACCGATGCAAGAAGAAACTACTGACTGACCAACATATGAAAATGATAACAAGTGGAAAAAGGGTGACATAAAAGCCGAGAGTCCAGCCAATCAAAATTCGAATCTATTGTTTCTGCGCCGTAAACTGACCTCAGTGGCTCGGAAATGGCATCCAACGGAAAAAGCAAGAGGAGCAGAAATAAGAAATAAAAGTAAAGAAACGGAGAAAGGACCCAACCAGGAGCATGCGTTGGGTTGCCGCTCTCAAGGGATAATCCGGTTTCCGTCAATGATGATATAACCTGAATATTTCAATTCAATATCAAGCTTGCTAGCATTCTGACACCACCAGATCGCCGAATTATCAGTCTTGACATTGCCGCTGCAAATCACCATTCGTTCGGCCCAAAATTCCTGCCAATTAGCTTACCTCAAGGGCAAATACGTAAGGGTTTGGATAGCGTTGATTGTATACGCCTCAAACCTTGAAGAAATTTCAAATGATTGCAGAACAAGGCTGCTAGAAATGCAAAAACCTCTAATACCACCTGAAGACCATGCTGTCGAAATAACAGATAGATATGACCGTCTGTTTTAGAATATTTTTAACCAATATCGTTGTTGCAGTGGCATTGTGTGTTTCCTGCATCCCTCTGGCGGACTTTTTGTTGCCACCTTTGTTGAGGACGTAGGCACTACGCAACAAGATTTGTATTTCACCAATTGTATCTCAGAAAGAAGAAAAGCGTTGACCGCACTGAAACGATGAGCATCGAATACACATGGTACTGCTCCCTGTTTCAACGTAATTTTTTCAATCAGCAACCCGGCAGCAAACGGGCTGCATCTTTGATATGCATGTGGACTACGTCCGGCTTCGTCCGCAGTTGCAAGAGTTTCAACAGCAGTCTATTAGGTCGTCTCAGATTTTTGATTCGGATGCTGTAATGAGTCGCATAGCGATTCAGTCCCCACATCATACACATTTCCTTGTAGGAGAAAGCGTCACATGAACTAATATAAAGGAAGTGATGAAACAGGATCTTTAATTCGAGCAGAACGGTTATTCAAAGGACTGAGAAGTGAAGCACTCTTTCCAGGGGTTCCCTGGATATGCGGGAGCCGAACGGGACTTCACCCTTTCGAGGGTTTTGACCCACAGCATGCTCATGCTAAGGTCCCCATCCGATCAAGAAATTTTGTTTCATGTAAGATGGGATGCCATCTCGCACAATGCTGCAATCCATTTGACCTCCGCCATCAGTCACGGATTCAAAAGCCCATGGCATTTCGCCGCCGTTCAACTTCCACCGTATCCTATGTAGTCTGCATCGAGATGCCTCAATGGCCTGGCAAATCGACTAGTTACTGGAACAAGGGCATTATTCATTTAAAAAACTTCCAAGTATGAAAACAGCACAAGACAGGAGGGTTCATCCTGCAATCTAAATCGATTCAGGGAGGCAGTCTAGGGAGGCAAAAGCTGTGGAATGTGACGTTGAGGCTGGCCCGGAAGTTCACTCCAGAGGCTTAGGATTAGGATCCAAGATCTTCATCTTCCAGGGCTCTGATTCAAGTCTGCGTTGCCTTTCACGAATGGGGTTTGAGCCATTCCAGAACCCTTGTCGGTAAGCGGATGGGGGCTATTCCCGCGGAGTGGCGGAGAGACCATTCCATGCTTCTGATGGCAATGATAGAAGACGGCGATTCCACAGGATAGCTTATTCGGAGGAGGCTAAGCGTTGGCTGGTCTGCATAGGCCTTTGATGTTGTTGAAGTGTTGTCGTTGAGGTATCAAACCCTGTTGTAGATTGCCCGATTAGGAAACCCTCAGGCTCCACCTCAGCCCCCCACGTCCAGCAACAAGGACGATTTCCCCTGAACGGCGCAATATATCTGGCGAAAACAACCAGGGCTGGATATCGCGGGTTTCTTTGCATGAATGGGCACCGAATCAGGAGCTATCCTGCAACAGCGTGCAGGAACGATGTTTACAATTGCCACCTCACTCATAGATGATATTTTTCCAACCAAACTACATCGCCCATGCTCCATCCTGGTATGATTCCAAAACGCTTGATGACAGCACATTATTGACCCGGATTGTCGGGAAGCGTATAAACCTGATTGATATGGACAGGGAGCATTTCAAGCTTGAACTAGCCATTTCTGTCGCCCGCGACGGCCCGTCCAGACAGCGCCAGGAGAAACTTGAAATCTTGCGCTTCCACAGGCGAAATGAAACATGCTCTATTACGACGGCGTGCACGCTAGAGCTGCGTATTTGAAGATGCACAGCGGAATTCAGGCGGGCCGTAACTTTCTCTATTTAGCCGACCCATTGATACTTCCCGTTTGCGGGGGTCGCTTCCTTCTCAGAAACGAGCCGTTATGGTTTTTTAGTTGGTGCCACTCGACTCTCGAGAGATTTTAGTTCCTCGATTCGACACCGGCCCCACAACCCCAGATCCCGCGATCGAACCTTGCAGATTCTGGCTGCACCAATAATGTGCCAAAAGGTCTCAAGGTTTCGCTCTCATGGCCTGAACTTGGAGATTTTGAGCCAAAATAGAAGGCGGGATATCCCGAAGAAGAGACGACGGCCCATAAAAACAATCATAATTAGAGGCGGATATAGCGGTTGGACCAAGGATCTAGATTATCCTCGCCCTTGAGCGTCTCGATCTGATCCATGTTTCCAAAGTGGGCTCGTGTTCTTCACTTGGTATTGGCACCAGGGATCCCAATTTGTAGAACGCGGTCTATTGAGCCAAGCCTTCGGAATCACTATTCAATGAGCTTCAGAATCATTGGGGAACGAAGTGTCGAAAGGATATACGAAATAGAAGATCAAAACTGTTGGAAGACCCAACGGCATCCCAGTGTTTGAACGAAAGAAGAAGGATAATAACAATAATAATAATACTATTAGGATTGACACGAGAATCCGCTCATACTGCCGTATGTTTATTGAATGGAGATGTCACTGACACTGGCGTTTCCACCCGCTTTGGGGCTTCCGTATCCTCCAAAATCCTCCTTTCCACTTCCCTTCAAGCCCCTGGGGCTTCTTGCTTCGGATGTACGCTCGAGACTCCTCTGAAAGCTTCCGCACGGTCCTTGTTGCATGATCCGTCTCTTGGCGGCAGCTCACGAATCATCCTTGCTACCTGAGCACCCTGATCGGCCCCCCACTAGTTTTAGCCCTAGTCGGTAGACCCCACTCAAGCATTGACAAGCCACTCGGGGAGCTTGGCCTCGCAATGAACCGGAATTGTTGGATCACGCTGCAGGTGGAGGGGTAGTTGAGCCGGGGGAGATGAAGCTGCTTGCCGTACAGCCAGGTCGCACACTTGTGTGCGATGAATTTCAATCGCTGTTTCTTGGATATCACTGCTCGTTTTGAACAGCCGCCACTGCCTTGCTAGTAGATCATCAAGGCTGTTCACCCAACTACTTCATCCTGCTGGAAATGAATGTGGTATTTAAATGCCCGTTGCCCTACCTCCTATGCATTGATTTTGTCACCAACATCACCAGCACTGCTACCTGACCAAAGGTACCCAACAACTGAATCGGGGCTACATATGTCGGAGGGCAAATCCTGTCACGATATATTCTCATTCTAATTGAATTCGTTCTTTACATCCTTTCTTGGAGGTCTCCTCGATTACCATATCCACCCAACAATCCTTTAGGTTCCAATAGATTTCTCACGCCTCTTTCCTTTCTCCTTCAAGACGTCTCTTTGGAGAATACACGTATTGTCAACGGAGATCGGATATTACCCCGGATATCGCGCCTCACGTTTTAGAGGCGTCGGACTGTATCATCAGCTCATACGGCATTTACATGATCTACAAGCCGATTATCAGATAAAATAAAATATTATAAACTACACCCTATTTCAGCACCATGGTTGCCAGACCTGTAGCCAACGTTCCTTCAGGGCCTCACCTGAAACCTCGCAATCATGAATCGATGGAAGGGATTCAATCTTGGGAGTCCTCGTCCGTATGTGAATATGTCCCTGTGTCTGTAATACTACCAAGGAGCTAACCTGGTGTAGGATGTATTCACGGTTGAATCTCGCTCTGCGATCCATATCCCATACAGCCACTATGCGCTGGCATATCTTGATGTGTCTGGGAATGTCCGCTATGAGCTTTCTCCATCTATGCTTGATCATAAGAGCGAAATATTTCTTCAGGACTTCGAAGAGCGGTTTTTCCAGCATGCTTCCCAATCAATGTTTCCAGGTTTGTAAACCTAATATATCTTTGTGCAAAACAATTATTAAGGGGGAAAACAGGCCAATTTCGTACAAACCCAACACGCAATCCAAGAGCTAGGCGACCCCGATATCTATCTTCCTACAAAAACATGCCTGCACAGAAGCGCCAGCGATTGGAGTATACAGTAAATGCAGTATCTGAGGAAAAGGATGACGAATTTGAAGACCAGCCTGCGAACAATATTGGCTTGCCCATTGGAAACGAGGAAAAAATGCTGGCTTATTATGCAGAAGCCTTCAGAGCCTTTCAGCAGATCAACTGTCGCCAAGTTGCAAAGGCTTATATCAAGCTCATTGAGCCTCGGAAGCAGGCAAAGCATCCATACAATGGAGGAAAGGCGGGCCCAGGAGAGATCAGGGATCCTGAGAAAACTAAGCCAGAGTGGTGGCCTACCGATGTGATTCATAAAGAACCTGACCATCTAAAGAAAATTCGTAAGAAGTTTTTCCTTAACCCCCATCCATCTCTCTCTAAATGTCAAACAAACGCTTATGGATCATAGCGCGTGTGAAACTTCTTATTCATATATTTCGCAATTTGAGCAAATCGCACGGTATCACGGCCCGGAAACTCAAAGCCGCTGGTGAAGAAGCGCAAAAACAATGTAGGCTTCCTGAAAAGGCATCTATTCTGGATGAAATATACCGCGTTAGGGAGGAGGAAGAGCGTTATGAGCGGGGAGAAATCGGTTCGTGAAGTGCCTCTCTCGTTTTGTATTTCTATAATCTAATATAATTCCCATGTTTACTTCAGATGCCGATGCTTTGGTTTATGTTGTCAAAAGAGAAAAGATGAATCGTGGCATTAGGGAGGACTCGGAAACTGCGTCTGACTCTGAGCAACAAGTCTATGTACCAGAGCTAGCGAGTCTAAATGAGCAGCAAAGCAGCATGAAAATGACACCCCATGTTTTGCCAATGCACAACCGGGTCGTTCCTACCTTTGACTTCGGCGAGAACAGGAATACGCTTTTTTCAACCACAATATCGGCTCCTTTTGAATAGGCCACACCCAACCCTCTCTCCCCTATGGGCATACACCCCAGCGTACGAAAAATTCACTCCGATGGGAAGTCCCATCTCAAT